GATCCAGGCAGGTTTGAAAACTTTTATTCCTTCTTATCGGTTTACTAACTTTTCATAAAAGCATATATATTTAATCAATTGAAAAGTTAGTATCTTCTAGGTTGCTTCTCTTTATCGTGCTTGCCATTATATTTCTCCTGATTCCATTCTCTACCTTTAAAATCTCTTATTCTACCCTGTATGGAATATTGTTGTCAAATTTGAGCTGGTTATTCTAATGATGCTCTTTCTATTTTACGAAAGGCCCAAAAACTTTGTCAACGTAGTTGGATCTTTATCTTCCAAGCTTGAGCCTCTCCCCTATCGTCGCAAAGTTGTCTCCCCTATCGTCGCATCTCTTTCTCTTTTCTACAAATACTAAGATTGTTGGTACTTAAAGAAGCTATCATATCTAGTTACATCTACCAAAACTCATTAGCTTGACTTGTCATTCATCAAAGTCTTAATATTTTATTGCATCTGTCTATTCTCTAAAAACTTTTATTCGTTTTTTTTCTTCCCGCACTTTAACCCTTTGGAACTCTCTCTCATCTTAATGTTTTTCTGACTCGTATAGCATACAACTTTTCTGTTTTTTTTTTTTTGTCAACAGTTTCTATTTAACTCTATTCTTTGTTTTCTACTAACTAATATTGATTGATTGCAGCCTTTGTTTGAATTTTATGTTATATTTTGTTATACAATGTTTTTTTTACATCCGAAGATTATGTGGACTTATGAACAGCAATTAATCAATAATCAACAATCAATCAGAACAAACAATCATAAAGACTAAGCGAAGAATCGTTTTTTTCACTATCCGAACCGTTCTGTATTGGAATCAATTACCTAAAGAAGTCATTAAGGTAAATATTGTCTTTAAATTTGAAAAAAACTTCATAAACATTTATCGAAAAAAAAAGAAAATAATAGTTCAAAATATAAATATTAGACTGCCGAAGCTTACAAATTAACTGTTTCCTTGACAAACTATTTGTTAGATTCTTTGACAAACTACTTGCTACAGTCTACAAATTAATTGTTAGATTCTTTGACAAATTAAAAGTTACCCCAGGAAAAAAAATTCTATAGAATTTCTATAAACTTTTGAAACATATGGCCTATAGAAACCCTATAGAATTCTATATAATAGACCATTTTTTTTTTACTTTTTTTTCTATAGAAAAAAAAGTTTTATAGCAATTTCTATAGAAATTAGTAGACATTTTAAAGAAATTCTATAAATATTCCATAAAAATTCTATAGAATTTCTATAGACCATATGTTTCGAAAGTTTATAGAAATTCTATAGAAGTTTTTTTCCTAGGACAGTGGATGAATAATTGTTAGATTTACAGAATATTATTTTGTTGCAGTTTTATCTTTAATAGTTATAACCCAGTGGGCACACGACGTTATTTCAACGTTGATTTATGGTTGATTTTTAGTCGCGACGTCCTATAACCAAAAATCAACATTGTATCAACGTTGAAAAATATTCTCTTTTTATATTAAAAAGTCACCACTTTAAGCATGTCTCTACGCGAGATCACAACAAGCGAAAAAAAAAAAAATATTTTAGGCTGCTTAACTGCAGATTTACCGCTTTTTAACAATCCATGTGATTCAAAGGGTTTGACACTTGAAAAACACTAGGCAGTTATATAATGTATAAGTTAAAGTTGTATTTTTCTGTAAGTTATTTTACACTAACAAATATTTTATGTATCAGTATAAAAAGTGTTGTTTTAAAAAATAAATTTTTCCAGTTTAAAAAGTATAGTTGAGCAAGCAAAATGTACATTCGAGCTGTTTGGATAGAAAATACGAAATAATATACGAAATAAAATACGAAAATAAAAAAGAGAAATAGAGAGAAAATACGATTGATAATTTTTTTGTTGGTCATCATCATTAAGTGTAATAAATTATTTCAATGAAATGCATGAACCGCACTCTAACTAATACATATTTAAGTTGCGCAAAATTAAATGTTGTGGAGATAATGTAATTTTTTTTTATAAACATTAAGTCATTATTTTTTTTCCTTGTTTTTAAAAAATGCTCCATTATTGTATATGTTGTTTTTAGTGTTTAAGATATATTCTTTATTATATAATATATTTAAAACATAGTTTTAAATTTGAATGATTATTCTTATCATGAGTTATGTGATAATTTTGAATTTGCCACTACTAGTGATACTCAGATAGAATCAGAATCAGAAAGTGTTAACTATTTTGAAAGATTTAAACTTAAGTTAAAAACTTAATTCAAGTATTATTAGTTTTATTTTGATATTATTTATTATAGGAACCACTACTGTTCTTATGCAAGAGAAAATATAGTCTAACCAAAAATAACCAACAGAATAGTAAGCAAGTACCTACTCCTATAACGCAAAAAAAGAAAAAGAAAACAACTTTTATGCATACTCCGCATACTATAGTTCAAGGTATTGATTGTCTGTCTCCAAGTTGTTTTAGAAAGAAAAAATTTTGAATGTTTTTTTTCTATGCTTTTACACATTTTATTGGTTGTTAAATAATATATTTTATTTATTTTAATAATGTTTTAAAGTTATTATTATTTTTTTTTTTCTTTGTTATGATATTTTATTTCATTGGTATGACATTTATTTTATTATAGCATTTAGCAAAAGCTATTTTATTTCCAGCATTCTAGTATTGATTTTTTTTTTTACGTGGTTGATTTTTTGATCTTAAAAATATTAGGATCAGCAATGGCAAGATTTTCCTGAGGAAAGAGAGTATTTTAATATAGTGCAAAGCAAGGTGGCGTGTGTCTTTTTCCACAGAAAAGAAAAAAGGTTGTTTAACCAGACACACCTGCATTTGTTTCCCTTATAGAATGTTCCCGTAGACACGTGACTTTGAAATTTTTGCCATTATGAGAGGATAAAAATGTAAATAAATTGTTTGCGGTATTGATTTTAAATGCAATTTATAATTGTTTTAACTTGATTTAGGTATCAGCGTGGCTTAATAATCAACTTTCCTATAGTATAAACCTTTTTTTGATTTAAATAAAATCAGTATCAATTTTAACAATTTAAATATTTACTGAAAAGAAATGTCTTATTACAAAACACTTGATCTGCTTTCCAAAAGCAGATATGATCAAAAAATTCTACTTATAAATGGTATAGATCCTTACTCCATTCCAGACAGCGAATTCAAAAACAGTGAAGAAATTTTTCCAGCTGTAACTTACGCTGATGTAGTAAATTATCTTGTATTTTCACCAAGTTTTTATACAGCTGAGGATATAAAGGCCTATAAAAGCTTAGAAGCATATAATCAAGTGTTAGAAGGATGGGTTAGGAATGTGGGAGTTATTGGCATAGGAAGTTTGAGAATTGTTATGGGAAAGGTAAGAAACAAAATATTAAAAAAGCATGTACATATAATTTTATAATTTTAAATGTTTGAATCTATTTAATACTCTAAAATTTGTATTTTAAGGTGTTTCATTCACAACGCCTTAATGATGCCCCACTTCACGGATGTTGATGGATGCCCCACTTCATGGATGTTTATGGATGTTGCAGAATGTAGTGGTAAAATTGTATGTGCACACTGTAATTGCATGGCGGGTCTTGCTGAAGCATGCACACATATTGCTGCAGTTCTATTTTGGATTGACATAACTGTTAAAATGCGAGAATCTAAAACAGTAACTGATTACAAATCTTACTGGTTACCACCAAACTCTCCAGCACAGTTAACACTAAAGCGTTTATGTGAAATCGATTTTTGATCAAGCATAAGCAAAAAACGAATATTAGACAAAAGTTTGGAAGATGACCCAAATGATTGCAGTACTTCTGCATTAGTTTGTTCTACAGTTAAGAAATCAGCGATTGAAAAGCCAACACATCAAGAGCTAAATGTATTTTTTAATAAACTTAATAAATCAAAATCAAAAGCAGCTATTCTAAAAATAATCCCTGAATATGCTCATGCATACTCTACAGAATCTGATCATCTTAAAGTACCTTTAATGAGCAATTTATATTCTTTAGATAAAAAAACTCTTAATTACATGGAGTTGCAACCTTATTGTGAATCTATTTATCCTAGTTTAACTTTAACAACTGAGCAAATAGTTAAAATAGAAAGTTTGACACGATTACAATCAAGCTCTAGTTTTTGGCACCAATTTTGATGTGGTCGAATAACTGCATCTGTTATGAAAGATGTTTGTCATTCTGATACTGAGAATCCTTCTCTATCTATTATTAAAAAGATATGTTGTCCTGCAAAATTTCGAAGCATCACTACTGATTGGAGAATTTCTCATGAAAAAACTGCTAGAGAAAAATATATAAATCTTATGACTGCGTGTCACGAAAACTTTAAAGTTCTTGATTCAGGCTTATTTATTAATAAAGATTATTGTTTTGTAGGTGCGTCACCAGATGGTGTTGTTGAGTGTTCTTGTTGTAGAAAAATATGTTTAGAAATGAAATGTCCATAAAACCTTAGAAACAACATATAACAAGATACAATTGAAAATGAAAAAACTAGCTATCTTTATTTAGAAGAAAGTGGTGAATTTCTTAAAAAATTTATTTCTTAAAATTATTGCTTAAAAAAGACCATGCATATTATTATCAAGTTCAAACTCAACTTCTAGTTACTGAATATGAGTTCTGTGATTTTTTTGTATGGACAATGAAGGACTTTTTAATACTTAGAATTTCTCGCGATGAAATTTTAATAGAAAAAATTCTTAATCTATCGAAGGAGTTTTTTAAAAGGGTTATTCTTCCTGAACTAATTTGTAAGTTTTATAGTGAACCTGAACACATTGAAAGTAATATCTTATTATTTCAAGATAAGATTTGCTACTGTCACATGAGTTCAAAAGACGATGATACGGTTAGTTGTACCGATAAACATTGTAAAATTAGATGTTTCCATGTGAAATGTATGAAAATTAAAAAAATACCTAAAGGCAATGGGTTTCGTCCAGAATGCAGACGAAAAAGAAACATTTTAAAAGTAAAAAAGAAACTTGCTGCAAAAGCAAATAATTCTATATTTCATTAACAATTTTACATGTATTCTAACGTTTGCTAATTGACGTGTTGTGATAACTTCAGAAGCACTAAGCTGATCTTTTCCCCGTGTAAAAGCAGGAATTTCCAGGTGTGCTCCGAATGACCCTACAATATCATCAATAATAAAACCTCTATCAGCCATAACAGTGTCCCCATAAGCAAGCTTATTCAAATAACCACAATTTTCCGTTATTACTTTGTCACTTGTTCTACCACCCCGTCCTTTTGAAATAAAACTTATTGTACCCTGTGGGGTTATACTAATCAAAAATTTTGCAGTATTGTTGTGTTTATGAGATGACCATGTTAGGCATCTTGCTGTTAGGTTACTAGATCTATCAATAAACAACTCAAAGCAATCAATAATACTTGTAATTTTATCTCCAAATTTCCTTTTAAATGTAAAAGGCATAGTTTTTATTATTTCTGACCGTTCGGGCCATATAATGAATGGTGATAGTTTAATGAAAAATACATTGATCGTGTGAAGAAACAATCTTGAGACAGTTGTTTTTGAAACACGAAAACGGTGCGCAAGATCTATTGTTCCAGATCCCAAACGCAGTTTCATTAGACACAAAACTACCTGACAAAACCTATTTAGAGTACATGGAGTAATTGCACTATCTTTCACAAGTTCAACCACAGCACATAAGGTGTTATAATCTGGTAAACCAGTGAAGTATATGACTGCTTCAGCATTATTTTTAAAAAGTTGTTTAGAAATCAATGCTTCTGATGTATCTTTTAAAATTTTTTGATTTTGATCAAGTAAAGATTCATATTTCTCGTTTAACATCTTGATTTCATCATTCAATTTATCAACTATGTTTTTTTTACCGACTTTTGACGAACTTTCTTGAAATAAATTGATTTCAACTTCTTCAACATCTAAAACAATAACAAACAAAAAATAAATAGGCACTTTCTAAAGTAAAACAAAATGAAATTTGATTTATCAGTTTCCTTAACAACTTATTAACTAAAAAGTACCTTTGTCAAATTTACTTCTTTTATTATCAATAACTTGATAAATTTGCATTGTTTTTCTTTTTTTACGTCGTTTTAATCTGCTTTTAATTCTAAATCATCTTTTAATTTTAATGACATCAACCCTCCTTCTCTACTCATATAAAGTGTTGGAACCCAATCTGCAAAATCTTTTTCAAATAGTTTTGCTGGTTTTCCTAAAATACATAATAGGTAAGTAAATATACACAACATAAATAATAAAGAAGCCACTAGAACAGCTTTTATACTGATTTTATTTAAAATTTAAACAACCTATTTTCAAAATTTATATACAGTATCTAACCGTTGATAAAGTGTTTTCCACAAACAAGTAAAGTCGAACCAATTGTTGACAACTGCTTTTGAGATAAATTAGTTCTGTTTAATGAAGCTAACCATTTCCTTCTACGTTCCTCTGAAAGGGAGCGCGAATCTTCGTCATAATTAATAATTCCAGGAAGTCTGAAAAATCTGATATCTGGTTGCTTTTTTTTAGTTAATGAGCAACCCAACACTCCACAAGAAGAAACCATATCAATACTTAATATATATAATACCTATTATGTAATATAAATAATATTTTATAATGTTTTATATGTAAAAAAGCGCTCACAATTAAAATACATTTAAATAACTGCATAATAATTTTTTTTTATATCGGCTTTGTTTACATTTTTATCCTCTCATAATGGCAAAATTTTCAAAGTCACGTGTCTACGGGAACACTCTATCAGAAAATCTACTAAAAAAGATTCCTTATCAATTGGAAAGTCTCCCATTACTGAGGAAGGTATGTGAAATATTTGATATTTATTTTGGTATGCGTTCATTTTATTAATTAGTAAAAAAAGAAAGTAATTATCTTTAAGCCATTAGAAGAAATAAACATGTCAGCCGATGCGATTGTTTTCTTTTGACGTCAGAGCGACATCAAACGAAAATTTACAATAGTACAAGTACTAATATAAAGTAAATACCTGAATATACCAGAGCCGACAACAACGGTAAGGAAGGCGGGAGGGACGGGTGGGGTGGAGGAATACGTGCCCCCCCTCTCCAACACTTTTTTCTAAAGTAAACTTTTTAATTAAATTTTTAAATTTTTTTTTTAAGAATTCTAGATATAGAGGACTTTTTTAAAAACTCATGGGTCCTGTAAATAACATAAAAATCTAGATAATGATGAAAATAATAATTGTAATAATAACTGATATCAATAATACTAAATTAGTATATAACAATAATAACAATAACAATAATAATAATAGAAGGAGAATTTCATAAATAGAATTAGTACGAATAGGAGAATAGATAGTTGAATGAAAATAAATAAATAAATAGATAGATACATAAAGAATATCAAAATATTAGTACTAGCAGAATGAAAAATTTAATAAAAGTATTAAAAACGGCAGATTGAAAACCAGAGGAATTAGATGTAGATGAATAAAGAATTTCAAAATGTTAAAAATATCAAATTAAAAACTGAAAAAATCACGAATTAATAAATTGAATAAAAAATTTCAATATTAATTTGTAAAAATATTTAATTGTATTTTTTTTAACAAATAATAAATAAGTTATTTTCTTCAATGGCTTTTTTATAAATATTTTTGATTTAAAAATCATTTTTAAAATGCGCAATTTCTCGCCTACGTATTCAGGCGATCGATAACAACAGCTCAATAATACGCTTTTTGATTGATTCTATATAGTTTTTTAATTTTTTTGTTTTGAGCTCTTAAATCATTTCAAATGTTATTATCAATACTTTTATTCACTTAAGAACTTCTCCACCGCGTGTATTTACTTAATTTTTAAGCAAAGTTATTTTAAAGTGAGGAATGCAATAGTTTGAAATATTATTGTTATTATTTAAATTATTGGTACATATTCTATTGGTATTTACAATTATTACAAGTATTATCATAAGTTATTATAGTAATACTTGTAATATAAGTGTTGATTATTCGGTTAAACAAATTCTATAAAAACAATTTTTTTAATAGTTTACTTTAATAAGTTAAAAAGTTTGTTAAAGTTGTAACTTGGGTTTAAATATTTAACTCAATTCTAGAGTTGGTAAATCTGAATTTCTGCTAAAAACTTAACTTTGCTTTTTTTCAAATAATGCTTTGCGACTCATGATAGTTTCCTTCGAAAAATCTTTGTTAATAAACACACATTTTTGCAGCGTTTTTGTTCGTTATCTTAACAGTTTCTAACTGCTGTTACCTTTTTCATTGTGCTTCATTTTTTAGGTCGTAAATGTACAATAAATTTGTGGAAAGAGATTTTTCTATTGTCTTTCTCATCTCTATAGCATTTTTCTAATTTTTGATAAAAAAGTAAACAAAAAAACAAATCTAGATTAAGGTTTTAATGAAACAGTTTTCATTGTTGCAAGATCAAGAGTTCCTTGTCCATTGCTGCGTGCATAAAACTTTTAATAATTTTTCTAATTTTTCCTAATAAAGCTTGACCAAGGTTTTGTTTCCATTACTTAAAAAAATTTTTAATGTATTGAGATTTACTAAAAAATGAAGAACTAGCATTAATAAAAAATTATTAATTATGTACGCAACTTGAATATTCAATATTTTTTGATTACTTTTTGTAAAGTTAAAATTTTTTTTTAGAGAAAAATATTATTATATAACTTGAATCTACTTATAAATAAATCTTATATACAAATCTTATATAACTAAGTTTGTCTATATTACGTAATTTAAATTATCTCATAAAGGGCAATAAACCTTTTTTTTTTCGAACATTTTATCTTTTTGTTTTAAATCATTTTTTCTGTGTTTAATAAATAAACATAAAGATAGAATGGCATCCGGAGCTCAGCAAGAGAACACCTGAAAACGTTGCGCAAACATAACATTTGTTTGCGTTTGAGAGATTAAAATCTAGAAAGTAAGTTGGACAAGGCATTCTAAATGGAGCTTGTTTACAGCTTTTTGCTGTAAATCATATACACATTTTTTCTCTCAATAAAATGTTCTAATTTCGTTTTGAAAGTTTTAAATTTATGATTATAAAAATATTTTTCTACACATATATATATATATATATATATATATATATATATATATATATATATATATATATAGGGCCGGCGCGAGTAGGGGTCACGTGGGTCATTACAACTTTTGCCGTTTTGCCGTCTTAAAAAAAAAAAAAAAAAGGTCCTCGTTTTTTACCGACTGCCATAACGACATTTGCCGACTGACTTTACCGACTAATCTATCGATAGGGTCTACATTTGCCGACTAACTAGTCAAAAAGGTTCACATTTGCCGACTAAGGGTCAAATTTGCCGACTAAAAGTCATTGATGGGGAGGTGTTACACCCCTCACACACCCCTATCGCGCCGGCCTTATATATATATATATATATATATATATATATATATATATATATATATATATATATATATATATATATATATATATATATATATACTAAAAAATGAAAAATTAGCAATAATAAAAAATTATTAATTATGTATGCAACATAAATATTCAAAAAACTGTGATTTGGTTACTTTTTGTAAAATTAAAATTTTTTTTTAGACAAAATAAAATATTTATATATATGTAAATTAGTAAAAAAAATACTTATTTAACCAGTGGCGTAGTTACCTAAGGACTACGCGGGGCAATGCTCCGGGGCCCTCAAGCTCAGGGGGCCATCGAATCTTTACCAGAAATCTGTGTAAGAAAATTGTGTCAATCGCTTTAAAATAATGGGATTATATAATGGTTGTTTTCTTTTAACTCCCAGCTAACCCAGTTTGCAGTTTTTTGTCGGAGTGGATTTGTTTTTTATTTTTAAATGATCTATATCTTTGAAAATAATTGTTGATTAATATTAAAAATTTAGCTAAAATATCCTAATCAACTTAACTAAATTTGATTTGTATTAAAAAATACACTAAACTTATGGGAAAATTCACTCTAAAATTTAACGAATTTAAGACTTTTTCAATGAAGTTCAATAATTTCGATTGTAATAATATTGTAACATTTTTAATGCTGTTGAATTCTCCTTAGTTCACAGCTTTAAATTTTCTTCAAAATTTTACATTAACTTGAAATTATTAATGTTTCGCTTTTTGAAAGAGCTTGAGCGCATTATGTTTAACAGAATCCATAATTGTTTCACTAAGAACAAACATTATGTAAAAACAATTTAACTTTTCAAAAAAAAAAAAAAAACATGCAATGAGCATGCAGCTACCAAACTAGTTATTGACTTTCTAAATAACGACTTTTAGAACGTTGAAAATGTTGAACGTTAAATGTTGAATATATCAAAATGCATTTGATAGACAAATGAAACCCGAATGTTGCATTTGGGGTTTTCATTTACCTATAAAAAGCATTTGATATAGTAAGCCAAGAGTTATTATTGCGTAAAAGTTATGGAATCAGAAACAATAACATAATTTGATTTTAAAATTGTTTGACAAATAGAAAACAATGTATAGACTATGACTCAAAAAAAAACAGTTAAAAATGTTGTGGGGGGTTTCCCAGAGATTTTCTTTTTATACATTTATTGTTCTAAGTTCTAAATTAATAACTAACATTAATGATATTTATCATTAGGCTTTTTATTTTTATACATTTATTGTTCTAAGTGTACATTAATGATATTTATCATTAAGCTTTTTATTTTTAAGCCTATTGGAAGATGATTCCAGCCTTTTTTTAATATCATCATGGTATAAAACGTTTTTCAAGTAATTAATAAAAAATGAAATGAAATTAATAAGTGATAAGAAAAGTACTAATGAAACAAACATTAACACTATCATTAAGAAAATTATCTTAGAAGTTTTTTTTAAATATCAAATAGAATCAGTAAGGTATTTATGTGTGAAATTGGATAAAAGTTGAAACTTTTATATAAATAGTTTTGAAAAAATAAGATTTTTATTTAGTTTTTATTTAAACTTTAAATTTCGCTTTTAAAAGTTGCTTATCTTTACAAAAATTCTAATTTTTCTCTATTTTTGCTATCATAATTAATCCAGACTAATTAAAACCGAACAACTAATTTAAAAAAAAAAAGATGATGTAATCGTAATACTTTAATATATTTGGTAAAAGCCAAAAAATTTGAAAGTAGGTAGCTCTTAAATGCAAGCAGAAGAGAGATAAACTCTAAAAAAGATTTAACCAAATTGTCCTTAATTATTACTTCACCATTCTAGTTGCTATTACTCTAACGGAGTCCAACTCTGTAGATGGTGGATCGCTGGATTTTAACAAGTTATTTACTAGGGTGTATATATCAATAAAACATTGGAAATACTACTTAATCTTAAATATTACTTAATCTTAAATTTTTCAGATATAAACTTTTTTTATTGTAAGCTAATAATTAAAAATTAAAAAAGGTATAATAATACAAAAATTTTACACCTAAATGCAATTTTATTTTTTAAGTATCTATGGTTATGGAACTTGAATGAACAATATTTGCATTACTTTTGCTTCATTGAATATGTTCAAACAAAATATTAAATTTAAAAAAAAACGTAAAGACTTGTTATTGTAGGTGAAAATTACGACGTTAATAAAACTGAATCAAAAAAGCTTTTTGTTGGTTTTAAATTAAGCTCTATCTTAAAGCGGAGTTTTAAACAACTAAACTTGATGTATGTTATTTGAAGTTTTATATTAGTTGTGTTTAGGGAGGATATTGTAATAATTGTTTATTATTATAGTATTGTAACAAATAAACTAAAGAGAGTTTTATCATTGATATCAGATTTCATTCCATTAAGGTCGTTTATCAATTTACAAAGGTCGTTTGTTTATTTGCATATTCTTAAAGGAGTTTTTTTTATTTAACATCCTCCTTAAATCGTATAAGTTGGTACGTAAACACGTTTGCGAAAGTTACGGACGCCATGTAGATTAATTTTGCTTTAAAATAATCTTTTTTTTTAAGGTAATTATTTTGAAATTACGAAGATATATTAATGCTGTCTACTATGTATATGTATATATATATATATATATATATATATATATATATATATATATATATATATATATATATATATATATATATATATATATATATATATATATATATATATATATATATATATATATATATATATATATATATATATATATATATATACATATTGAATTAGGTGACTGAAGATGTCTAAATACTGAATAACGTTTAGACTTTGAATTTTGCTAAACAGTTTTATTGGTATATGTATTATTTATATTGAATAAGGCGACTGAAGATGTCTAAATACTGATTAATTTTTAGACTTTGAATTTTGCTAAACAGTTTTATTGGTATATGGTACTATCTATATGATATATATAAGTATATATATATATATAGATATATATATATATATATCTATCTATATATATATATATATACTTATATATACATATATATATATATATATATATATATATATATATATATATATATATATATATATATATATATATATATATATATATATATATATATATATATATATATATATATATATATACATTGTATTAGAAAAATGATGATAAACAAAACTGATAAATATTTTTCACAGTACTCTGAGAACACAGAGATTATATTAGCTGTTGTTTTGGTGTTTATTATGTTGCTATCTTTTTTCGGAAACGTTGGTATGCTCATAGTTTTTTATAGAAATGATAAATTATGGAACAGCACAAATATGCTTATAGTAAATATTTCACTATCGGGCGTATTAGTGACTATATTTTCTATGCCGTTCAGTTTAACATCCGTGGTTTTGGGTAAATGGCCTTTTAATGAAGGCGGACTATGTAAAGTAAATGCCTTTGCTACGTCTCAACTTCTGCTAACTACAATTTTGACTCATACTGTCATAAGTTTAGATAAATATTTTGCTGTCGTGAAACCGTTCTGTAGAGTAATGACAGTAAAACGTACTTTGAAGATGATTATGTGTGTGTGGTTTATTGCTGCAGTTATTACAATTCTTCCATTTTTTGGAATTGGTAGGTATACGTATAACCATACAACACTTGTGTGTGGTGTCGGGTTTCCTGAAAAGCACAATGTACCTGAAAAAATTTATTTAATTACATTGGCAGTAATAGGGTTTGTTATTCCTAACATGATAATGGGACACGCATACATTCAAGTATTTATTGCTGTAAAGAAACATACTCAACGTCTAATACAATCTTCTGTAACTTCGTTTGATGTTTTAATATTACAAAAACGAATGATAAGAACTGTTGTCTTAAGTTTGGTGTGTTTTCTGCTCTGTTGGAGTCCATTTTGCACACTTTGTTTATTAGCTGTCATGGTAAAATCAATTAAAGATATACCAATTGGTTTGGGAATATCGGCGTACTGGTGCGGTTATTTATACAGCGCTTTGAACCCTTTAATTATATGTTCAATGAGCCAACGGTTCCACGATGGTTTAATAGAGCTAGTTGCAATTCTTCTTTACTACCCAACTTTACTTTTTATGTTTGTTTGTAGAAAAATATGTTCTGAAAGTAACAAAACAATGGAAATATCATCAAAACCAACTTTTACTGAAGATTCATCGCTTCCTTTATGTTTACACATGCATTACTATACAAAAGATATGAAAGACATTTTGGTTACGACTAATAAAAACTCGTTAATCAATGCACCTTAGTTTAGTCTATGAATAAAATTTTATATTATAGTTTTTTATTTAAATATGAATAGGTGAATAACAACACTGAACAAAAATTACTAATTAAAAAAGGTACTAACTAAAAAAGTAAATTATAAAGATAATTATATTACAAATGAACATTTTTTAGGTTTGTTTAATTGTTTAAAATAACTTCTTGTTCTATTTTTTTATATAAAAAAATTTTGCACCAAAATTAACCCCCCAGAAACAGTTTTTTGGAAAATTAAAAAGTACTCTTTTCCAAAAAAAGAAATTAAGCTAAACCAAACTTAAAGATCATTTTTAAAGAATCTAGAAGACTCCAAGATCAGGGCATACCTAAATATAACGTTTTTAATTGTAAACCAATTGAAACTAAAGTCATCTAGTCATCACCTTAAATTTTGAAAATGAAAATGAAAAAACTTTACATCATTTAAAAATGAAAAATATACATAAAAACTAGCTTCTTGTAAAGCTTATTTTAGGAAATAAATATTATACAAAACCTTTTAGATGTTATTAATGAAAGTAAAAATGAATGAAACTTTTCTGAATAATAACCTAAATTAGTTTAACTAACTTTTAACAGAATAAAAGCATTTAATGAGTGAAAAAGAAACTTACAAATGAAATACAGATGAGTGAAAAAACTTACAGATGAAGAAGAAACATATGACTTATTATCATCACTTATTTTACTAAAGTAAATATTTTCTTGTTTTTTGAAATCTTTTTAAAAAAGCTGTTTTTAGGATTTGAGATAAAAAAAAAAAATACAAACCAACTGTTACCAAAACAGCGAAAATCAGCGTTTTGGTAACATTTGATTGGTATTGTATTGTCAATCAGCTTTCAAAATTTAATGATGATATAAGATCTTCAAAATCTAAAAAGGTATTACAATACTTTTTATTACAATACTTTCGAATTGAAATATTGTCAGATTAGTCCCTCAAGACGCAAAATTAGGAATTTAAAAATTTTTCACTAATCTCGTCATAACTCAAAAAACATTTTTGGAGTGGTTTTGCAGTGGACTTATATAGGCATATGAGCGGTTTATTGGAGTTTTGCTCATCGGTTACTTAGTGAGCAATTCGGTTACTTAGTGAGCAATAGTGGCATTTGCTAAAAGTGAAAAGCTAATAATTTAAAACATGTGATATAGTGACTAGTCATCGGCTAGCCACTTTTGGGTGCTGGCACTAGTGGTCCACTATATAATTAATGAGCAAAACTCTAGTGGACAACAAAAAATGTTTATATATAGGTCCACTGAAACTCTGTAATAGAATGTTTCCTTTTCCTATCAAGAAAAAAAAAGAGTAAAAATTTAGTTTCCTTACTTGCTTACATAGTTATTTACATACTCTAATCTCTTTTAACTTACTTACATACTCTAATCTCTTTTAATGGAGCTTAATGCACTCAATGTTTATAAATATAAGATATACCAAGTTATGCTTCTAATGTTAAGACAAAACATAGTTTATCTCCGAATATATTTTACTCTTACTTCACCAAAATTATTCATAAATACCCCACAAAATACTCAACTAATAATTTTGTTGTTCTAAGATCTTTTTTAAAACTCAGCTCGTTTCAAATTCAATACCGTGTACCATTTATATGGAAAAGTTTTTTGAAAAATATTATTAAAAATAAAACTCTTCTAAATTTCTCACTAGAACAATTGAAAAGAGAATCTAAACGATTTCTATTAGAAAATTACTTCGATCTTAAAATTTTTTTAAAATAAGTACCTAAAATAATTAAACTGAAAAAAGTTATCATTACTCAATTATTTCTGTCTTGATTTTTTTCTTATTTTCTTCTTATAAAAAGAAGAAAATAAGAAACAAATTTTTATTGCGTTTTACTATATAATCTTCAATCTGTAAATTTTTAACTTTTAATTTTAACTTGTTACATAAACTGAAGGCGACAATGTAAACAGGGCTCGGCGATAAGACAATATACGTCTTTTTCTTGCTCTGGCTATTTATTTTAGGTGTACGTTCTTTTTCATTGTAAATTTTATTAAACGGCAAAGGAAATAAATAAATAAATAAAATACTTGAGCTTTTGAAAAAAATTCTTTTCTAGTGAAAACTTAAACATAGTTCCAACCATTTATCTTGAAATTAAGCAAAGTTTATTTTTGCTCCTGAAGCTTTTTTGTTAAGTTTTAAGACTTGCCTTACTTATTAAGGTATCTCCTGTTAGATAGAAGTTTGTGTCATGAGCACATTGCTGAATTTTGTTATCTTTTCCTCCAGCTAAAACTTCTTTAACTTGTCTAAAGTAAGTTAAAAATACTTTAGCGTGTATGGTGTATACTATCGTTGATCAAGGCCAACTTTGTCTGTTAGAAATCCGATATAATAAAAACATGTAGGGGAAGTCGAGGCATAACTGAATATGAACCGCAATTTTTAACATTTTCTTATGAAAAACATTATCTAATATGGCAACAGACATACCCTGTATTAGTAAAATAGTTTCCCTCATTTTATTTATGTCTTTAAAACGCCTGTTGCGTTTTTGAGTGGTTTTGCATAACATTGCTTGTTTTGATAAAAATATTATATTTAAATCATATTTTTCCTTTTATTTTGTGGATTAAGCAATTTAAAATAGTTGATAAAATATTTATCTATTTATTAATAAAAAATTATTTAAATGCAACGTTTTAGTGAACAAAGATAAAAATCAGGCTGTACTATCGAAAAAAAAGAACAAAGGAAAAATCGCTTAAACATCTTTTCGCTTTTAAACTTTTTGCTTTAACGACCCGTTACCGATAAATTGCATAAGAATTTTGCAGTTAGCATATGTAAAATTCTTTTAGTACCTTATTTATGATGTCTGGCATTTGTTATAATTTATGAATGGCTTTATAGCAAAACAATGTAGTTTTATTAAATAAAATTCGCAAGAAGTTGTTTTTTGAAGTAAATTATTTTATGTATAAAGAAAACCTGCATTCATCTTAAGAAAAAGTTTTTGTTTAGAAACAAAAATTTAAAGCTCGAAATTGGATAAACTTGTACTCATTCAGAAAGCTGTTAACCGTTTATAATGCTTTATTTATTTTATCCTATTATGTAATAAAGCTACAAATTATCTTCAGTGAAGATAATTTGTTGGTTTATCTGCAATTTTATGAATTTGCCAAAAGTAAACAATAATTTCTTTACCCTTAATGTTATATTATAAAAACATATGTTTGGCTTAGTATCTTCTAACATCGTGTGCAATCCTGTCCGCTTTTTCTATGTTATCTTTCTAACTCGACTACTTTTGTCTTTCCCTCTAACATACCTTTGTTCTTCCCAAACTCAATTTGCTCTCGGTCCGTAGTGCGGCTTATGACGCTCTTTTAGGAGCTGAACTAGTCTTTGCGGGCCTTATAAAGTGACCTCTATATGGCAATTAGCCGGAAGAGGATAAACCACAATACCATTAGATAAAAGCCGCTAATTAATACGTAAACATTTACGTTAAGAAGCTCTAGTTATTGCTTCTCGGCCTAATGGCTAAAATCAATACTAGTATCTGTTCTTATTTCGGCTCCGGACTATCTTTCAATTGGTTTCGGTGTTGTTAGACAGCGTAAGATCGAAACTGTGATAGTCGATAGAGGTTCTTGGCGTTGTCGCTTTTTGTTGTCTCCTTTTACATCCGGGAATCTCAAAGCAATCCGTCGACTCTAGACGTTAAATAGAAATAAACCATTAAAATAGCTTTACTTGACTTCGGCTGAGTGGCAACTTGTAAACCCTTTAGTGGGCCAAATACGGAGTCTCGGCTTCCAAATATTACTGCCTTCTAGGGCCCTGTGTAAACCTGGTTTCAGCTACAGACGTCTCTAGTCGGTCGGTAAAAAAAAAAGAATTACGCTAATTATATCGTTTTCTGTTATCAGTACATGATTTCAGTTCAAAAAATTATAATTTTTGATAACTGCAACAACTTTTTATTCTAGTTTATTTTGCATTTAATTATATAAAAATTGTACAAATATATTATAAAATTAATATAATGCAAAAATAAGGCATCAGTTACTCATTAATATAATGCAAAAATAAGGCATCAGTTACTCAGCGTAGAGATCCAAAGAAAAATATAGCGTTTAGGCTCTTTCGTTTTCATAAAATGCTGTGTGCGTTTTGATTGGTTTATTTTTTTTTTAAATCACGAAGCTCGTTGTTTTATTTTGTTAACATTTAATATTAACACCGAGTTTGAAGTTTTATCTTAAAACTATGGGGTAGAAATTATATGAAAGCTGAAACGTTTTTGTTTAGTAGTTAATTCAAACGACTATAAAGAGATTATAGTAGTAAATTGCTATGAGTGAAAACTAATGTGAAAATTTCGATTAAAATTTTGTAAACATTTTTCTGTTTAAAAAATTTTAAACGAAATTAAACATTTTACTGTGTACGGAAAGATAAAATACGAGGTTTTTAGTCATTTATTGAACATTTTAATGCTGTAAACAAGGAGTCTTTTTACTTTCGAATAAATAAGACATTTTTGAAATGTAAATACTGAACACATTTGTTTCAGCTGTTTTTATGACGTTGCCTCAATGCGTTTAATGTATTTTAGTGGTAGTTTTGTTTTGCTTGATGCTTTGGTTAAATAAAGTTTTATAAAAATATAATAAATTATATAAGAAAAGCTTAAATTCTACTTTTTAAAAATATATAACAATAATAGTCAAAAATAAGCGGAAAACACAAAAAATTGAAGTTTAAAAATGTAAATTTTTGTTTTTAAGAAATTGTTCGGATCTCTCCTAAAATACGCTGAGTAGTCATATCACCGAACATTTAAAATATATTCTGCGAATCTCAGACATATTAGAAAAATACAAAAATGCCCATTGTAATAAGCCTAGAAACAAAAAATAGTGTTAGTGTCGAAACGCACGAGTAAGCGACACAATTTGGCACCGCGCTGATACCATCCATTTTTGTGAAATAATGTTTTTTATGAAAAATTTATCTTTCTTTAATGGATTAATTGTGTACTTTTTATTGAAAAAAATACATAGGTATGTAAACATGTAAATTTAAAGTTAATGAAACCTTCAATTGATGTACTCACACTCCACTTTGGCTATTCCAAATTAAGACAGTTGATAAATATAGACTCGGCTGCGCCTACGATTATATCAGTCAAAGATAAAACCTTAGGTGCCACGGAGAAGCATATACCCGGGAAGTTCATGCCTCTTTCCTTATCAATGTTGCCGAATCACAAATCTCTTGATTCTGACCAAACTCTAACCATTACTCCACCGCTAAATATACAACCTAAACATTAAATTTTTTTTATTAGTAGATGATTGGAAATAATTGAAATAAAATCAAAAATGAGTTTTTTAAACCGACCATGACATTTTTTAACTTGCCCTTAAGTAGATTTCTGTTTGTTAAACACTACGTCGCAGCTAAATAATCGGCTAAATTAAAAGCAGCTTAATTTAAAAATTTAACAATTACCGCATTTTTGTACTACATTATGAGAGCAGTAATTCATTTTTACGTAAAATTTTTGCTGTTATAATTTGTTTCAGAAATCTTTAATGTTTTCATTTTTTAAATGCCATAATATTTTAATCTTCATACCATTTAGTAAAAATTTAAATATTGCTTCAATGTCTAAAAATTAGTACTTTTAACAACTTTTATGTTGTCACAGTTTATATATAGTTCATTTAATAAGTTTACATTTAAATGTTAAAAAATCAAAAAAGAGACGTACCTAAGCCCATTGTCGGTTCTCACATATAGAATTTTAAATGAGTTTTGATGGAGTAAACTTATATAACTCTTTTTATGGGTCTTTTTTTTTCTAGTTTTAAAATGCTAAATTGTTTAAGAACTATGACGCCAATAATTCTCAATAAATGAAAAATAACTAAGGTTTTATGAGAAAACAAAGCAACTTTTTTTCTCCTAAGTGGTAAAGTTATAACTTTTAAAACAATCATGATTTCAACATTTATTTATAGCCTAATAACCCAATAGTGGTTAATAGTGGTTAATAGTGGTTAATAGTGGTTAATAGTGGTTAATAGTGGTTAATAGTGGGTAATAGTGGTTAATAGTGGGTAATAGTGGTTAATAGTGGTTAATAGTGGTAAAATTTATATTTTTTAAGTTTTTAATTTAAAGTTTTGAACTTTTTTATTGGTCTTATAATCCGTTACCGGTAAAAAGTTATTGCAATGAAATTCGATAAGGTAAATTTCGCAATGTTTGTTCAATGCTCATTAATCGTCTAAACTGCCAAAACTTGGCTTGCTTAGCTAAAAAAAAAAATGTTGAAAACACCTATAAATGCATTTAAAGTCCATACAAGTCTCTAAAAACTGATTTTTCTAGAACTTTTAGATCAGGTTGATTGTAAAATTTACCTGGTGTGAGGTACTATATTTATGCTCCAAACAGAAGGAGAAGTTACTTTTTCTGTCAAATAAATTTAGCAGCTGTGGCGCAGTGGTAGCGCACTTGCCTCAGAAACAAAGGATCCGTGGTTCAAAACCCAGTTTTGCGACATCAGTTAGGAAGACGGCGTAAACTTCCAATTAAATGCTCATCCGGGGTGCTGTGTGATAACTTCTTGGGACACCTAAATAAAATTAAAAACAAATTCAATGAAAAATTTCTTATCACTAAATACAACTCCACCTATTTACAAATTTTTACGCATTTTTATATTGGATAACAATCCACGAATATATATTCGTGGCAATTTAATCGGATATCCGATTAAATTGCCATTAAAATATATTTACAATTATATTGATTTAATCTTAAACCACACAGTCGCCACTGAATGTTTGTGAGTCGCCACTGAATGTTTGTGAGTCGCCACTGAATGTTTGTGAGTCGCCACTGAATGTTTGTGAGTCGCCACTTAATGTTTGTGAGTTTCACTCAATACTAATTTACTTTGATAATTTTAAGAGATACTCAAAAAATGCTTTTTTTATTTATGAAATTCTATTATCAATAATTTTTTTAGTTCCATAACACATCTTTTTAGCGTTTTCGTTTATTTATTTTTTATACCTTTGAATAGTAAAGTTTATTTGAGAGTTTTTTTTAATATATTTTTATTGCCTTTGCAGTTTCATTAATTTTTTTAATTTTTTTTTAATAACTTGTAATATAACTTCTTCTTCTTTTTTTTTTTTTTTTTAATAAAAAACAAATTTTTACAAGCCTTGACACATAATGTATTTAATGACATAATGACATCTATTTTTAGCGTTTAGACATTCCCATCAAAAATGTGCTGTGAAGACGTGCTATGCTGTTGATTAAAGATAGCTTGTCATATTTTATTAGATATGGTAGATAAAATATCTTCAGACAAACATGATATTATGGGAATAATGATAGTGGTTTTACTTTCACAACAAAATTTGTTGTCAGAACATTGCATATTTTTGCATATTTCACTACTACTAACATTACAATAAATTGATTTTATCTTTTTTTATACGATGTTGAATTTTAATCTTTCATTTTATTTATAAAAATAACTTTAAATTTGTGTAACGAATTAGATAAATAAATGAATCTAATTAAAACACCGTGGATGCAATTGCATGTGTCTTTGAAGACTGGCATCTTGCTAAAGACAAAAAGAAAAATTTAATTGTAATATTCTTTGACTTTGCTAAAGCCTTTGACGTAGTTGATCACAAGCTTCTTCTAACCAAATTATCAACATACCTCCCTAAATGGCTTATTTCACGGATTGCATTTTACCTACAGACCAGATATCAACAAATTTATACTAACGGCATAGCAACAGAATGACAACTTGTGAAAGCTGGAATCATCTAAGGCAGTGCACATGGACCCGTTCTTTTTATACTCTTCATACTTGATACAAACGATATATTTGACTGCAATACTGAACAACACAAATTTGATGATGACATTTTTGCATACATTCGTGGAGACCTAACCCACTCAACCTTACCACAGTAATTTGCAACAAATTTAATAACTGGTGCATCAAAAACAAAATGTTATTAAACACAACAAAATTCCAAATCATGAGCAAACCTAGTAACAAACTTGACACACGCCCACCACTAGTTGTTTAAATCATCTACAAATCTCTTAATTATGTAACATCTATAAATACCTAGGATTTGATTTAAATATAGAAATAAACACAGACCAGCAATGACGCACATCAAACCCAAATTCTCTTTAGCTCAGTTCCTAATTAGAAGTCTAAAAAAACTAGGCTTTCATAGCGAAATACTAGTGATAATATACCGAAACATTAGACTTAATTGATCCATAGTGCACCGTTACTGTATGCAAGCAGTATCAAAATAAAGTACAAAATACTTCAAATACATCTAAAAACGCTAAAATCTATAGATATTAGTCCAGAAATTGCCAGAACAAAATATAACATCGAAAACACCGATGTATGTATGTATGTATGTATGTATGTATGTATGTATGTATGTATGTATGTATGTATGTATGTATGTATGTATGTATGTATGTATGTATGTATGTATGTATGTATGTATGTATGTATGTATGTATCTATGTATGTTTGTATGTTTGAATGTTATGTAATTTTTAAATTTTTAGACCATTGAATTTAAATAAAGATCTAAAAACTTAAGTTTCTAAAAAGTAATTTATTAATA